CCTGAGCCTCCCATTTGCCTTTAGAAAGTTTGCACCACTCACGCTCGAAGTATGTCAATTGTTTGCAGATACCCTCGACCCCCTCCCTGAAATGGGAGATTGCATTGGGGACTCGGGCGACAGGTGCATATCAGGGAATACGGGTAATGAGAAAGAGAAGTAAGTTCAAAGGTTCATTTTGACAACTTAAAAAGGGATGAACTTACGTGTTGAGTTCCACTTCTTAGGGAACGACAGGAACTCGGAGGGAATGAGATCTTCGGTCTTTATCCAAACAAATCTCCCCTGACAGCCTCGGTCCCTATCCTCGTCGATGCTCGAGAAGGGAGCCTTCTTTTCCCGTCAGGCAAGCTTGATTAACCCCTCTCGAAAGATTCAGGGGTTGTAGACACAGAGCAGATAGTCGATCGTGAACAGGGGCTCCTCCGTATTGTTGGCAAAATGGCGTAGGAGGGTCACGATCCTCCAAAAGGACGGATGGATCTGCCCGAGGCAGACCTCGTACCTCTTACAAAAGTCGAGGACCACCGTGTCCATCGGGCCAAGCGTGAAGGGGTACGTATAAACGCGTAAGTACCCCTACACGTGCGTTGTGATATCCTCATCAAGATCGGGGATGACTACTTCCTTGCCTTCCCACTTGCAATGTTCTCGGACCGTTAGGAGCATGTCTTCGGTGATGGAGCAGATATACCTCCACGCCTCCTCACCTTCTCACCTCGATCTCCTTATTTAGAGGCTTTTTCGACTTTAAAGTCGTTATTTATGGAGCAGCCTCCAGGGATAAAATCTTTAAGAGGAGGTTCCAGGGCTACTACCGGAAGGGCCACTTCGATATCTGTGACCGGGGTGGAGGTTGAAGGAGCAGTGTTCTGAGGCACTGAATTTGAGGTTTTTGCCATCTTTATCTAAGAATATGATGGTTTGAAGGCTGATATAAAAATTTGAAGATTTGAAGGTCTAGCTTGAAGATCTAAAGACGAAATATGAAGATTCGAAGATTGAAGATGAAGAAATGAAGATGTGAAGAATAATTTGTGAAGATTTGAGGGAATGATGAACAATTAAGAAATTCGAGGGTAACTTGAGAAGGTTTGTAATCGGAAAGTAAAAAAGCGAAAAAAAGAAACCAGAGCTTTTATAGGAGGGAAATAATGAATGCGTGATGTTTCGCATTTGATGCCCATCGAGGATAGTCAACCGGCGGCTGACATGTGTCCGAAGTCAGAACGACGCGACTGATATGACGTTTCACTGACTTGTCAACTCACTTGCGGCGTACGGAAGAAGGAACCGGGATCAGTTAATCACTTCTCGTCGTTCCTATAAATCTGCCCTCCGAAAAGTGAGGGGACTATCTGTGTACGGATAAAATCGGGAATACAGTTACCCCCGATTTTTTGGTAAAAGAACGAGAGGACAGGAGATCTGATATGACCTCGGGTAAAGCCGAGGGCTCCCACAGATCAGAGTCCGGGGAGGATGAATGATGTGCCAAGAACCGGACACGGCCAAATATGGGAAGAATCGAGTTCAAGCAAAATAAAGGACCGAGACTAGAGGAAATACTGCTGGAAAGGACAAACGAGGGGCCGAAATATCCGCCCTTAACTGGATATTACGGTGCAAATTTCGCCCGTGTATCAACGGCCTATCACGGTTTACCAGAAGAAAAAGATTTTTACCTTATTTAGACTTGTACAATGATTGAAACTCCCCTACTATATATAAGGGAGAACTTTTTTTAAAAGACCACTGTTGGCATGCATATCAAAGCAATAAAATTTGTTCTCTAATTACTGTTCAAAGTGTTCTCCAACTGCTTATTTATTTAGTTGCAACCGATCCCGTTTCGAGGACTTAATCCGAGCCAACTTGCGGTGTTCATCGTAAAGTCAGGCTTAATCATCCATCGCACTTGGTTTGATCGTTTTGTTTTCTTTCAATTTAATTATTTGTTGTTCTTAGATCATTCGTGTTAAATTAAATCACGTATCCTTTAAATCGCGTATAAATTCAATTGGTATTCATTTTTAGGGTAAATAATATTAATTCCTCATTATAAGGCCTTTGTAAAGTGCCAATGTGGGATTGAAATAGAAGAGCAAGTGATCAAGTCTTATACCATAATAAATGACTTGGCTTTCGGCCAAAGTGATGAAGAGAAGAAGTGAGAGGATCATGAAAGTCAAGACGTTGAACATAGTAGCAACTCTGTCATTTGCCTTGGCCATCTTTTTGCTTCCTCTAGTGTTTTTTCTTCTTCAAAATGTATAGCTATTTTTGTGGATGTGATTTTCATAACTAGTCTGTGAGAATATATAACGGGAGTGAAAGAATGAGAACAAAGAGGAGTAGACAAATTCTGATTACATATTCGGCGTTTCAAGAAGAGTACCGCCGGCAAGCGGCATTTAGGTGAATTGTACAAAAGAATGAAACAAAGGTTAATAAACTAAATTAATTAAATTGATTAAATTAAATAAGTAAATAGGAAGATGAATTTTTATTTACATAATTCGTTTCCTTTCATGTACATAACTTTTTAAAGGTATCTGACTATATACACGGTTTTTCTTTTTCATTGTTTCGGTTTTTCTTCGTTCTAGTCTTTTATTATATTGTATGGGTTTGGACGAGGAGGGAGATCTAATTTATTTTTTCCACTTTTTTTTCTCTACTTTCTGACACCTAAAAGTACATAACGGTACACTATTTAAACAAATAATAAAAAGAATAAAAATGAAAAAAAGAAAAACAACAAGAGTAAAAATAACAAGAAGAAAAGTAAAAATAGCACGGGCTAGCCAATTTTCGGACTGTAATTCAAAAATAGCTAGCATTTGCAAAGTCATTGAAAAATAGCCACTATTTTGCTGCAACACGGACCGGTCCAGCATAATATACTGGAGATTGATGCACATGGGTGAACTTCCAGCATATTATGCTGGAACTCCAACACGCGGAAAGTTCCTGCATAATATACCGGAGATTGGAGCACTTGTGTATGAACTTCCAGCATATTATGCTGGACTGGTATATTATACTGGAACTCCAGTATATTATGCTGGAATATTTTCCGGATTTTGAACTGTATTTTCGTTCAGATTTATCTATACATGAAAAATGGCTAAATTTAGATTACTTTTGAAACTGTGACTATTTTTCAATTATCACTTGTATACCTGGCTATTTTTGAATTTCTCCCATAAGAAAATAATAACATAATTAATAACGATAGCAATAACTAAGTTAAAACAGATTTGGACTTGGGAGGCCTACTTGATAGGAAACAAAATGGGCTAAACTTGGGCCATCCCCATCATTCACTTATCCATTTGATGACAAATATTATAGGCTTTGGTTCAATCCTTCTCGATTAGTTCTAATGATGTCCAACATTTAGGCGCCCAAGTAGAACAAGGGCCTCGTATCTTTCTCGACAAAGATCTATCAGTGACCTATGAATACATTGTGTTGCTTTAGGAGTCAATTAAGTTTGATAAATGAAAATACTCTTAGCATGACTGCTTGATAATAATAAAAGGGGAAAAATACATAATTGACGGCCGGTTAGAACTAATTATATTTGCTAGCCAAAAATATATAAAATATGTGTGTTATCTGTATATAGAATGCAAAAAAAAAAAAAAAAGTTGTCGGCTATTATTTTTGGAAGCTACCGAAGACATACATTTCTCTAACAATGACATACTAAATTTGCCCCCCTCATGAATTTGGGACATTTAATATGGGCCTGGTTCACCAATAATTTAAGAAATTGGACCCACTCACATATAAAGCACCATTAATACTTTACACATGGTACAATATGAGGCCATCTTCGACAGCAACAGTTGGTTTTTGGAAAAATTGGTCTCCAATGCTGCTCTATTTTTTGCTCCAAATGGGGATAAATAGTGGCACTTCAATTTGGAGTGACACTATTCATCTCCTCTATTACTATTCCCTATTATATTATTATTATTTTTATTATTTAATTCTTTTAATTTATCTCTTTATATATATCTAATTTTGTTTATGTAATTTCTTTATAATATTAATTTTACATCTTAATTTTGGCATATAATTTTGATAAATTAATTTTCGTGCATTTATTATTTTTATGTAAAATTATAAGTTAATTTTATTAACAACTATAAAATGTATAATCGTCTCAAAATAGGAATGGTGCAAATTAAGAACAAAGATGTTCATTTTGCACTTCGTAATGCATTAATAGATCATTTATGAGAGCATACTAGAGGTGAAAGTTGAATATTTATGTAGTATTTAATCTGAATTTTACCATAATGTAATATATATTTAATTATCTTGTATCTCAATGATTTCACTTTTATTTGAATTATCCGTTAGTATATATAATATATAATATTTGCTTACAAATTATATTCTTTAAAAATTTATGGTATAAAATAATTTTATATTAAATGGTTATATAAGGAATATAAATTATATGTGATGAATATGTAAAAAAAGAAAAAAGATAAGAGTTTCTTTAATAGAAATAAAAAATAAAATTTAAATAAAAGATAATAATATAATATTGAAGAGAGAAGAATATAAAATGGAATATTTTTTTTGGAGTAAAAAATGGAGTAATGGTTGGAGTAACTTTACTCTATTTTGGAGTTTACTCCATTTTGGAGGAGAAAATGGAGGCAAGGGTCGGAGATTGTAGTAAGTTTTGTATATTAACAATGCATATGTTTTTCTACAAATCGTGTAAATTTACTACAATTGATAACTTTTCATATCAAATCTGTTCTTTTAAGTGAGAACATAATATAACTAGTTAGATTTCACTGATAGTGTAAAATTTCATTATACAGTCGTAATAACATAAATCATACTGTATAAATATAAGTAAGGTTAGTGCAGATATAGATACACGTATAGCAGCTTTGGTAGACTGAAAGTCTGAAACTAATCGAGACCATAAAACACAGTTCATCAAAACAATACGTGGGTAACAGATATTAAGATTGGCTAAAGTAGTAACGAAAGTGTTACGTATTATTGAATAGTACAGAGTACATCTCAGACAAAACACTTGTCTTCACAAAGATTCTTGTCACACATAGTTCTAAACAAAGACAACCAACATAGCACGTACTCTCTTTCTTAATTTATCCTTCAAAAAATAAGACAACACACATGTAGCTAGAATAACCACAAAGGGCTACATTATATTTCTGACCAAGTTCTTTGTTGCTCTTCTGCAACAGAAGTAGAAAGCAGCAAATTATAATTAGCTGAATTCCTGACCGAACAATTGGCCCTAATTTCACCTTGTGTCCCAGTCAACACATTCAACTGCCCCATCTTGATCATGGAATTCACAAATTCCTCAAAGAAAAGTGACTCGTTAATAGCAAAACTTGTAACAATGCCTCGAGTCCTTCTATCCGTGTACAAATCTTGATCCGATGTGAATAGTCCTTGTCGATTCATGAGATCAACGTAATACTTGTTATCAAACTTGTTAGGTGATCGAATGTCAAGAACAGTCGTGTTCGTGGAGTTTGAGGTTGGACAAGTGTTTTTAAGGTTGTTGGCAAATGTTTTGTCCATCGAGGGATCTTGGTTAGGGTAAAGTCTTTCAGTGAAAGAAGTGCAATGTCCAATGCCAATGGTGTGGCCACCAGAAAGTGCAACAACATCAGTTGGGGTGAAGTTTTTGGTGGCAAGTGAAGTTAAAATGGCACTAGCGTTGAATGAAGGTGGTGGAAGGTTGGCTAGGGTTTCATTTCTTGTTGCAAAGTTGAGTCCATCCCTTCTTCCTAAAGGTAGATCATAATCAGGGCCACCAGACTGCAATATTATCCATGAATAGAGATATTAATTACTTCATGTTAAGCCTGATGAATTCTTTAATTTCAATACGAAGGATACTTAGAAAATATTTGCATAATCAAATAAACTTATAAGATCATGATTATATGAATATTTATGGTAAAAAATTACTCCCTCCGTCCCAATATATGTGGCGGAGTTCGAATTTCTGAATCTCAATTTTTCTTTAACCGCAATTTTTATATGCTTTTAGATATTTTGGATTGCTAATTATTGTGATTTATAGTATTTTTACTTAGTTTCCAAATATATAAATTTTGTTTCAAAAAATTTTCTATGTCTAAATTCAAGGTCAACATTAAGAAGTTTGACTCTCGAAATCCGAGGTTCGTCCCATAAATGGGTGTAATTGATAACCTGATAAAAATATTAATTACAAACTAATTTGATGCCGTATAATTGTCACGTGAAAAAAACTGTCCTATTAGTTCTTAACTTTTTTATAAGAATTAAAAAATAATTCTTCACTTCATGGTGAGGGGAACTAATTAACGCGGAGTCTAAAATTTGAAAAGAAAATGAAAAAAAAAAAGCTGCTACTCCGAGATATTGACATTGTATTAATGGTGTGTCAGTCTAGCTAAAACTCATTGACATTGACGCTTGAATGCGAACATTATTGAGAAGTGATACTTGGCAATTGTTTGAAGCTTTTGTACTATAGCTTATTGAATTATTTGTCATAAAGCTTTATCACATTGAACAACTTTAGAAATACGCTTCTGAGTTGTTTGGCCACGAATTTTCTTTTAGTTACTCGAACGGTCTTTAACTACTCGAACAGTCTTGATCTAGTTTGAGTCCGATCTTATCCAAAATTTTTAAACAAGGATCTCAAACATTCTAAAAAATATAGGCCAATTTTCCACGACTACAAAGTCTTCTGCTTCATGTCATAAGTTCACAAAAACTTTAAAACTAACTTCAGTTAAAGGTCTTGAAAGAAAAAAGTTTAGTTATATGTTAAAAGAATATTTTGTACGAAGTGGAAGTGGGATCCTCATATAGAATTGCTGTTATACCGACTTCTGAGCAATCTAGCCGAACTTGATTGTTATATGTACAAAGTGGAAGGGAAGGGGATCCTCAATTTATGACGTAAACATGATAAATAGTACGATTTAATATATATTAGGTGCGAGTAAATTTTTAGTGATGTGAACTTACTAAGAAAACAGAGTCGCGAGCAGCAATAGCAGTGATATCCGCACAAGAGACCACCCTACCGCAATCTCGATGCACACGGCGGCGAAGGTCTTCAATGATCCTAAATGCCTGCTGTCTTAAAGTCAAGTTGGGAGGTGCATCTTTCTCACTTGGTCCACTCGCTGAACCATCTAATAGTACTGATCCGTCACAACCCTGTGTATCAAAAATGGCACATAATTATCTTGTAAGTTTGTATATCATAGTTCGTTATAACCTTACATTGAATCGTTTAGGTGCAATGTTACAACTTCACTGAAACCTTTAAGTTCTCTCTTTGTGTCTTTCTTGTTTCACTATTCACGAATGTTTTACTAAAGAAAATCAAATGTAACCAACTTCGAAACTTCATTGATCAGTTTATATCTCCATTATATTGGAGAAAGAATTTAAGTTATATACTGACCATAAAGATTTTTAATACTATTCCTAAAGTTACTTTATAAGTGACTTGAACGTATAAATATTTTAGAATTTAGAGTTAGGTAAATACCTGAACAAAACAGTCATGGAAGTGAAGGCGAAGAAGGCCGGCAGCCTGGCCAATATCCTGCCGGAAAACCTGCTGGAGGCGGCTTCTGATGATGGATTCAGCATTGGGGCAAATGGAGTCATAGAAAGTCCATGAAAGACCTTTCACAATTGGTTGAGTACCTTGAGCTTCTGTTTGATAAAAGTTGACTGAAAGGATCAGCAAAAGTGAAGCAGCAAAAGAAGAAAGGGTAATTGAAGCCATTATTGCTGATCTTTTGAGGTTAATTATTGCTAAAGGTTCACATTCACTAGGGTCTATTTATAGCCGGAAGGAAGTTACTTATTAGTAGTATTATTTTTCAATTTTACCCTTAGGATTAATGGCCTGTCATATACGTACCATAAGCTAGGAAAAATGGTTTTAAAAAATTGCCTCTTTTACCTTAATAGTATACCTTCTTTTTGTTCCAAAATACGTATATATCATAAGCATGCACGGTGATAAATTAAACCTTGAAGAAGAGCATATAAACAACACTTAATTTTGAAGCAAATATAGTGTTGCTGGACGATCTAGCAACTTCGACTATTGAGGGGTAAAAAACAAATATTTGAGTAATAATTCTTATATCAGGTTTTCTTGGAAATTGTTTATTCAGAGTGGTGAATCATGAAAATATTTGAATTTTTTTCCAAATAATATTAGAGAGAGCTTTGTAGCAATAGTAAATCGCCTCCACGTAACCTATAGGTCAGTACAGTTCGAGTTTGGAAGCAACCACTAACAGAGGCAGATGTAGCGTACTAGCTACGGGTTCAACTGAACTCATAACTTTCGACGCGGAATAAAAATTTATATGTAAAAATTCATTAAAATTATAAAAAAGTAGATATGAACCCATAACTTTAAAAATATAATGGGTTCAATGTTAAAAATCTTAAAATTGAACTCATAGGATTTAAATCTTGGATCCGCCTCTGGCCACTAATGCTTACATTAAGATAGATTGTGTATATCACATCCATTGAGGTGTATCCCTTTCATAGACCCTTCATGAACACATAATACTTTATATAACGGGTTGCCTTATAACCACTGGGCACATTATAATACAACTCATTTATTGATTCAGCTTATTTTAACCCGTCAAATACAACCTTTGTTAAAATACAACCCATCCACATTTGACACCGGTGCACCCTATTTATTACATTTCCTTTTAGAAAAAATATTCGAATAGCCTTTTAAACTGTTAGGGGAAACTTTATTAAACCTCTTAAGCAGAACAAGCAACGAGGTAATCTAAGCATCTCTCAAATAATAGCCGAAAATATATATTTTTATGTATATATATATATATTATATACAAAAATTATATAAATTTTATATATTTTTTCGGCTACCAAATATAAATAATTTTCGATGCAGGTTAAAAGTGAAAAAACCCCATCCCATACGAAAAATTAAAATTTGCATTCCGGAGACATCCCTTTTTCACTTCAATAAAACAAATAAGAAAACCAGAAGCTGCAACATTTTTAAGTGCAAGAAGCGAGCAAATATTGATAAATGCTTGTGTGATCTCAGCAAGGAACAACTCCTTAGACTTTTACTAACTACATCGCACCAACCATATCCTAATTGTCTTTGATCACTTTCAATTGATTTTTCGTACTCCAAAATTCTTTGATTTCAAGTTGTAATTTTTATTTACACTTGCATACCTCTTAGCTAAGAATTGTATGTAAACAAATTAAGCATTAATTCAAACCAGATAACATTTTAGACTATTAATCTTGATGTTTCAATTTACTCTATAAATGTTTTCTGTGTTCTCATAATGTCGCTTTATACATATGATGCTGATACAAATTATGATAAAATAATGACAACTTATACCTACTTCATAAATATAATGAAGATAATGACTAACTAAGCAATTGGCTATAGAACAAAAATATTTGACTAACATTATGTCGTGCGGGAGAAACAATCCAAAATAGTCCCTCATGTTTCGACACAGACTCAGATTCATCTTTATTTTTTCACTTGATCACTAATAGCCCTCCATATTTTCAACATTTTTACACTTTTAGTTCTCCCAAAAATTACATCTATTCTTTTAAAAATTGTTTTCCTCCACTAACGGATAGTAGAATCTCACGTCTTTTTCACCATCTTTCTTCAATCACTGAGTTACCTTTATTTCTGTAAATCAAATCACGTCACAAATTAGATATGATGTTGATAGAGGGGCCAAATGTTCAATGTATTAGGTTAGAAACTAGGAGTAAAGAAGCCGACAACAAAGTAAAACGAGGAGAAGTGGAGGAAAATGAAGCATCAAAAAATGAGGACATGCCATCACTAACTATATTCTTAGAGAGGGGAATAGATCTACCGATGGGTAAATTATATTTTATTTCAACGAGAAACGGTGAAAATTATATAGCTGTCCGTTTTAACTTAATCATTTGTCTGTTACATCCACTAATTAATCTGTATACTCTTTTTATATATAGCGCAACCCAATTTTTATTTTTTACTTTTTTATTTTTGAAATAAAAATAAACTAAACCAATAATTAAGATAAGCACGAAAATGAAAGCTTCTATAAAAGGCTTCTTTCAGTTTCTTAGTAAGAATGAGATCTAGAAATATTTTGTGATGAACATCATACAAGAAAACAAACTTCCCTTATTTCTTTTCTATTGTAATTTCTGGATTATTATATGATGATTTTTGAACTTTTCATATATAGAAAAGAAATAGAAAGAGATAGACAAGAAACGATATCCGTTATGTCAATGGCTCGAATTTGGAATTTTACGACATTTCAATTAGATTTAGGGGGTATGAATCTAATATTTATACTTATTTAATAAATTTTACAACAAATATACAAAGTTTAAGTCAAAGTTATTATATCTTGTTGACAAGAAATGCCTAACATCTAGATCTAATGGTGTGTGTGTGTGTGGGGGG